GGTGAGGAAAGAGTTGAACAAGGTAAATTGCTCCTCCAGAGGACTAACACTGATATGCAGTGACCTCTTTCAGTACTGCTGTGATTGAATGATCTCTTGAGAAGTAGAAGCAAAGAGATTATGAGGAGGAACAGGAGAAGACAGACAATGAGAAGGAGGAAGATGGTATTGAGAAAGAGCCGGAGGAACCCAAAGATTGAGGGAAAGAGACGACAATAATGAGCGAGAAAACTCACTATTGATGTGGGAAGTGATAAAGACAATGATCAGGAAGTTGCAACAACGATGAGAAGGTGGAGTGAGCAACAGAGAGGAGAGACAAATGAGGAGGAGGAAGGCAAATCATGAAGAAGGAGAAGAAAGTCTTGTATATCTGGATACAAATAAAATATGTAGTATAAAATCTTATCTTCAACAAATACTAAGTTCAAGCTGCTGTGATCAAATGTTTAGCTTATTTCTTTAAAACTGACAAAGAGGCCTCGAATTGTGTAGTTAAGGCAGGCACAACTGCTTGAACCTCGACATTTTTCTATTTTAGTTCATCAGCAACAGTATCTCACAAGCAGTTCTTTTCCTGTTCTTAGGCTGCTTTCAATGGTACTTGTCCGATGAGCAGAAATTCAAACTGAACTATTTCAAAACGTGGTTCTAACAGATATTGATTCATGACAATATATTTTCAAAATCTTATATCCAGCTCTCCAGCTAAGTCAGCCCACCTCCTGATTTATAATTCTATGTCTTCTGACTGTTCCAACTTACAAGCTAAAAATTATAATCCTAAAACTAAAATTTATGTTCTAAATGAACCATAGACTAGGTATTCACAACACTTCCCCACTAGAAGAAAATGAAAATGTGTCACATACGATTGGTTTTCATTTTCACAACGCAGAATACTACAACCTGTAATGTGTTATAAATCTCAATAATGATCCAGACACATGCAATACATGCAATAAACCTCCCCCCATTCTCCAAACAACTTCTCAAGATCATTAGCACACTGCTGAATTCCATGTCCAGCTTAAGATGTAAAGTGTCACCTTTCATCATATTTTATGGAAGATTTTTTCTTCTTACAATACTTAAAGTCAAAAGTTTTGTCTTGAAAGAAGCTTTTTCATTGTTCTGTGTCGATGAATTTTAAAGCTCAGGATTTAAAACAGTCCATGGTGATTTTAACATTTTAACTCCAGTAGCTTCCATATCTGTAGCTTTCTCATCTTTAAACTCTACAAAGATATTGTCAGGTAATTCCAGAGTTAAATTGTCTTCCTCTTTCTTAGCTGTTGGTGTACCCTAGTTTCCAAAATCATTTTCCAGACTCAAACATTTTAAATTCTCTTTTGAGAAATATTCAGAATAGCTTATTTTCACACCAACAACCAAATCCTTCTTTGATCAAAATCCTATTTGGTCGTTCAAGGAATATCTTTTACACATTTTCTTCTCTTATCTGATAAAATATGTAGTGATTGTAATAAGCCAGCTGGACATCATAGAATGTGAGTTCCCTGATTTGGGGCTGTTAATCTGATTCAATCAGGGAGCCCTGGCTGATCGCTATAAACACAGTGAGTGTCAGAGATACTCTGATGAGTACATAGATATTGCCCCTCTATAAAGGATTGTTCATGTGTAAATAAGGTGTGACTTGGTGATGGGCCACTGGCCTCCATGGAGTTATTTTAGTGGCAATGAAAGTAAAGTACGTTCCCGAAGAAGCTCGCTCACAACAGTTATTTTGAGTTGGGGTAAGCATTTCTTACTTCATGCTTTGTTTGGGAAGCTTGACTTGTTCAATCCTACCATTGAGGACTGGGCCCAGTATGTGGAAAGAATGCATTATTTTTTCCAGGCAAATGACATTGTGGCAGAGACAAAGAAAAGTGGCAGTCTGTGGAGTTGAAGCTTTTTCAGTCATTAGGAACCTAACTTAGCCAGAGGCACCAAACACTAAAACCTTTCAAGAATTTACTGACATATGAACCCAAGCCTCCTCTAATTCTGAGATGCTATTGCTTTTACTTGGCAATTCGAACCAGTGAATCCGTTTTGGGGTTTCTGATGACTGGCAGAATCCTGTGAATTTGGTTTAACCCTTAATGAAATGCTTAGAGACCATTATTAATGCAATTAATGATGTAACCATCCAAAAACACTCACTAGCTGAAGCCCAACTGGACTTCAAATGGGTGCTACAGGCTTTATCTTTGGAAAATGCAGCAAGTGGAGCATACAAGTTGCAGGGTATTCCAATGGAAATGGACACCCTCGAGAGCCTGACTGAGCTTGGGGAACACCACCTGAGTGCAGGCAACTGCACAGTCTCACTCAGGACATACCCTGGTTAGAGGGACTCTAGGTCTGCCCACAGCAATGCCCCAGAACAAAACCAAGCCTCAGCCAAATGGTTAAAAGTTTCTTCAGGATCCTGGCTGGCGAGCCACTGTAATTGTTGCTGACATGCAGACACAAGGCCTAAGTTCATAGGATGGTATCCAGCACAGTTCATACCCTGGAAAGTCCACCTACGTCAGTTAAATTGCTTAGCAACATCCAAACCAGAACCAATCAAGAAAAATAGTTCCACAGAGGCCAATATCCCATCACCAAGTCGGCCTTAATTTAAACATAAACAGCCCTTGACTTCAGTACTGCCTTTTCATATTCAGCTGTCAGAGTGTGAATATCTCTGACACTCCCCTTTTCATCTTCAGCCAGGGATTCCCTCATGGACCTGATTAACAGCCTCAGTCAGGGAACTCATATTCTATAAGGTCCATCTGGCTGACCTTGTTACAATTACTACACTCAGCTCAGCTGAGAACCTATACTGGGAACTTTCCAGATTAAAGGTACCACTTTGGTTCTGGTCGCTTATGGGAAGCAGCTGGTTCAGTTACCACTGATTGTAGTCGATAGCTCAGACCGAAGCCTAATGGGGCAAACTTGGTAAAGAGACATTCACCTTGATTGGCTGAACAATTTTCTGTTAGAAAATGGCTGCCTGAGTGGAGTCCTAATTAAAAACCCAGAAGTCTTCCAGGAATGACTAGGGACTGTATGTTGACCAGGAAGCAATTCTGTGATTCTACAAAGCCTGCCCAGTGCCATTTGCCTCACGGGCAAAAGTAGAGGCAGAAATCAGGAGGCTGGAAAGGGAAGGAACCATCAAACCCCAATGGGCAGCACCGGTCTTATCAATTTTGAGGCCTGATGGTTCAGTTGCTTTTGTAGGGATTTTAAACAAATGGTAAACCATTTCTCGCCGCTGGATAAATACCCAATCCCTCGGATACAGGATTTAAACGCAAAGCTGACGGGAGGGGGACTGTCCTTCACAAAGCTGGACATGAGCCACATTTACTTGCAGTTGCATTTAGACTAGAATTACCCGATGTATCTACAATTAACACCCATGAGGGCTTGTACCAATCTACAAAACTGCCATTTGGGGTATTATCAGCCTGGTCAATATTTTAGCGGACGATGGAGAACATTTTTGCAACGTCTGTCTCAGATCACTGTTTACCGAGATGACAGGGAAAACTAATAAGGGACACTTAGAGAACTTGGATAGAGTACTAAGCCATTTTTCTGAGGCAGACTTACACCTAAGAAGGGAAAAGTAAGTGTTCCAGGCACCCCAAGTGACCTACTTGGGCTACAGAGTTGACGAGACTGGGTTACACCCATTGGAAGATAAAGTGAGGGAGATTAAAGGTACCTGGCTCCCATGTCAGTACCAGAGCTTAGGTCATTTCTTGGGCTCATAAATTATTAATGAAAGTTCATACATAACATGATCCACACTGGCTCCTTTGCATCAACTCCTTTAACAAAAGGGGTCAGTGTTGGAAATGGTCGCATAGACAAGTCCTAGCTTTCAGTGAAGGAAAGAAACAGTTATTGTCCTCGAAGGTATTGACACACTGTGATCCCAAGAAAGATCTGGTATTGAATGCAATGCCTCTTGTACGGCATTGGGATGGTATTAGCTAATAGGTGGCCCAATGGAGAGAAATGCATTTTAGCTTTCACATCCAGGAATCTGGCTAATGCAGAGCTTAAATATACCTAGATAAGAAAAGATGGATTGGAGGTCATAGTTGGGGTCAGGAAGTTTCTCTATGGATGAAAATTTGTGTTAATCACGACAACAAACCCCTGCTAGGTCTGCTTTAAGAGGACAAGGCAGTGCTGCCCATAGCTTCGGGCTGCATTCAGCAGTGGGTTCTAATACTGAGTGTTTCTAATAAGTTAGGAATGACAGATGGAGTTTAATTTAGATAAATGTGAGGTGCTGCATTTCAGAAAGGTAAATCAGGGCAGGACTTATACACTTAATGGGAAGGTGCTGGGGAGTGTTGCTGAACAAAGAGACCTTGGAGTTCTTTGAAAGTGGAGTCGCAGGTAGACAGAATAGTGAAGAAGGCATTTGATATGCTTGCCTTTATTGGTCAGTGCATTGAGTACAGGAGTTGGGAGGTCATGTTGTGGCTATACAGGACATGGTTAGTCCGTAATTGTAATACTGCATGCAATTCTGGTCTCCCTCCAAAGGAAGGATGTTGTGAAACTTGAAAGGATTCAGAAAAGATTTACAAGGATGCTGCCAGGGTTGGAGGGTTTGAGCTATACAGAGAGGCTGAATAGACTGGGGCTATTTTCCCTGAAATGTCAGAGCCTGAGGGGTGACCTTATAGAGGTTTATAAAATCATAACGGGCATGGATAGGGTAAATAGACAAGGTCTTTTCCCTGGGGTGGGGGAGCCCAATTCTAGAGGGCATAGGTTTAAGGTGAGAGGGGAAAGATTTAAAAGGGATCTTTTTCACGCAGAGGGTGATGTGTGTATGGAATGAGCTGCCAGAGAAAATGGTGGAAGCTGGTACAATTACAACATTCGAAAGGTATCTGAATGGGAATTTGAATAGGAGGGTTTAGAGGGATATGGGCCAAATGCTGGCAAATGGGACTCGATTAATTTCGGTTATCAAGTCCGATGAACGAGTTGGACCGAAGGATCTGTTTCTGTGCTGTACATCTTGATGACTGTCTGGGAGTAGTGAACACATTAAGCCACCTCTCATTAGCAGATACACCACCGGTGGTGCCCCCAATGGAAGTGTACATAATGATAAATTTTCTGGACACGCTCCCAGACACAGCTAACAATAACAGATCTTGGACACTGAAAGATCCAGTCCTTTCTAAACTGAAACAACTGGTATTAATGGGGCAAACCAAAGGGCCGTCACAACTAGAACTGAAACCTTTTGGACCCAGAGAGACCAGCTCGGCATATTGTAATGGGGAGCAGGAGTGATTATCCCAATTGAAGGTTGCTGTCAAATACTGGAACTTCACCAGCGCCATCCAGGGGTCTCCAAAATGCAGATGTTGGCAAAGAGTTATATCTGATGGCCAGGCCTGAATGCAGACATAGGCGCATTTGTGCCCAGGGTGCCAAGAAGGAACACAAATTATTGCCAGCAGCTCCCCCACATTCATGGGAATGGCCAAATAAATCTTGGACTCTGTTGCATATTAACTATGTAGGTCCCTTCATGGGTTCTTAGTCATGTAGACACCCACTCAAAGAGGTTCAACATGCACAGGGTCCATTCATCAAACACTGGGATGACAGTAGAAAAACAGTGCACATCTTTTGCAATAAAGAGAGTCGCGAAGTCTTGGTCGCAGATAATGAGCCATCATTTACCAGCAGGGAGTTTGGTTGTTTCTTAAGTCAAATGGGCTTCGGCAAAAAAGGTCAGCTTTACACCATCCATCATCCAATAGCCTGGCAGAAAGAGCAGACCAAACTATGGAGGCTGGATTGAAGAAACAGCCTATAGCCTCACTAGATACTAAGCTGTCACGGTTCTTGCTTGATTATAGGACCACTCCACATGCAACTGCAGGGATTGTACCGCTAGAGTTGCTAATGGGTGGAAGAACCTGCTGCAGGTTAAGTCCGACCTTCCCGGACCTGGGGGGTGGTGGTGGTGGTGGTGGTGGTTGTGGGGGTGGGGGGCGATGAAACAATATCAGGAACTCCAATGCCGGACAAGACTCCACCCAGCAAGAGAGACAGTTTGATACAGGAGGCGAAGTTTGGTGTAAAAATTATGGAAATGGCCCCACATGGGTAAGAGGCATGGTCGACACAAGATCAGTACCAGTGACATATAAAGTTTGGGTAGGTGTGACAATCCTCAATAAGCATGTGGACCATATGAAACAGTGTGGGAGCAAAATGTGCCCTGCCCCTCAGAACATTTGGAAATGCTGTCAGAACTTGTGGATTCACCCTCTCCATCAAACATTGTTCAGTCCCCTGAATCATGCATGGATATTCCAGAAGTAGCTGCCTCGATGCCTTTTCCACTGGAAGGAGAGTGAAATTTTACGCAAGAGACAAGGTTCTGTGTGTTACATAGAGATATCAAGAACTGCAGATGCTGGAGTCTGCAGCGTGGAGCTGGAGGAACACAGGTCAGGCAGCATCAGAGGAGCAGGAAAGTTGATGTTTTGCGTTTACACCTGCCTGACCTTCTGTGTTCCTCAAGCTCCACACTGTATTGACTCCTGTGTATTACATGCTGCCCGTGTCGAACTCTGAGTCAGAGGAACCTGACCTGAAGCTAAAACACCTCAGCAGGCTCTCCAAGGAAAAGGAGTAGTCTATGAATGTCAGGCACTGGTACCTGACTCTCTATGAGGCAGTGTTATCATCAAGGACTGTTCACGTAAAAATAGAGGGTGACTTGGTGACAGGATACCGGCCTTTATGGAGTTATTTCCAAACAAAATTAGTTTTTACAGCCTTTCAGGGCTTGCTAAATATCTTTAAATTAATTTAGCTGTAACTCTCAAAACAAAACATTTCCCTGGACTCATGACAACAAGGAATGTACATACCAGGTCTCCAGCTAAGTGAGTCTACATGTTGTTTTAAAGCTCTCTCTATTTATCTGAACACACGTATGAACATAACAATTCAGAGCAAGAGTAGATTGCTTGTTTCATCAAGCCTGCTACACCATTCAATAAAAGCAGGGCTGTTCTAACTGTGGCCTCAACTCTACTTTTTTGCCTCTACCCAGGAGACTATTGTCTGAGAAGGACGTCAAAGGCTCTTTTTCTGACTAAAAAATATTCAACAATGCTGCCTGAGAAAGTGAACTCCAAACACTCAGCACCCTGTATCTGTAACTCATTCTACCCTCTCCCACAGGAGAAACATCCTTTCAGCATCCACTTGGTCAGGTGCCCTGAAAATCTTGTGTGTTTGAAGAAGTTTTCCTCCTATTCTTCAAAATCCAATGGATATTGGCTAACCTGCCTAATGTTTCCTTGCACAATAACCCAATCATCCCAGGAATCATGTCAAATGAAAGTTTCCTGAACTGCTTCTAGTGCAGTTGTGTCCTTTTTTTGAAAGAAGACCACCAACATTGTTGCCACCTCACAATGCCATGCATTATTGTGGCAAAGTATTCTTTGCTTTTCCATTCACCTTGCAATGATATTTGATCTTTTTAAACCAATGAACTAAAACGCACATTTCTAAAACTAAAATTTACCCAAAACACTAAGTATTCACAATGCCAGTAAAATACTTGTTTGCAAAGTTGTTTAACGTTTTGCTATTACACAACTGCTTCCTCCCATATGACATTCACAATTGAAGACTTCCTCCTCTGCATGGATCCCCTGATGGAATATGAGGTCTGACAAACTCAAGGAGGATTTCTGCACATCTTGCAGGGAAAGGGTTCTCCTCTCTGGATGTGCACAGAAGGATGATGTGTCAGAGAATGATTTCTTGCACACCTAGTATGATGAGAGATTCTCGCTTTTGTGAATGTATTTGTGCACACAGAGGTTTCCTAGCTGTGAGAATGATCTGTCACAGACCTCACATGTGAATGGTTTCTCCCCTGTGTGGACATGCCAGTGTTTGAGCAGGGCTGATGATTCTGCAAACCCCTTGCCACACACCTCACACTTGAACGGCATCACCCCGGTGTGAACGCATTGGTGTGTGCGGAGGTTTGATGATCTCAAGAATGATTTGTTACACACTTCACACGTGAAAGGTTTCTCCCCAGTGTGAGTGCGTCGGTGTCTGTGGAGATGCGACGAATCTGAGAATGATTTGTCACACACCTCACACTTGAATGGCTTCTCCCCAGTGTGAATGCGCTGGTGCTTTATCAGTGATGATGACTGGGTGAAGGCTCGGTCGCACACCTCACACTTAAAGGGTTTTTCACCTGTGTGAGTCATCTGGTGTCTCAAGAGATGATACATTTGAGAAAAAGCCATCTCACAAAGTTCACATTTGAAGGGTTTCTCCCCTGTGTGAATCCTCTGGTGTATGAGGAGGGTTGAAGATGTTGCAAAACCTTTATCACAAGCCTCACACTTGAAGGGTTTCTCCCCTGTGTGGGTTGTCTGATGTAGCAGGAGACTCCTTAACTGTGTGAACACTTTGTCACACACCTCGCACTTGACTGCTTCCTCCCCTGTGTGAATGCGTTGGTGTGCACGGAGATTTGTTAACCATGAGAAGGATTTGCCACACACCTCACACTTGTGTGGTTTCTCCCCAGTGTGAATTTGTTGGTGGGCACGGTAACTTGATGACTGCCTGAATGATCTGTCACACACCTCACATGTGAATGGTTTTTCTCCTGTGTGAATACGTTGGTGTTCACGGAGGGTCGATGGCTGTGAGAATGACTTGCTGCACACGTCGCATGTGAAAGGTTTCTCCCCTGTGTGAATGCGCAGGTGCACACGCAGCGTCCATGACTGTGAAAATGATTTGTTACACACCTTACAGGAAAATACATTTGCTCCATCATAAATACATTTGTGTACACGGAGGTTCGATGAGCTCGAGAATGATTTGTCGCACACCTCACATGTGAATGGTTTCTCTCCCGTGTGAACGCGTCGATGTTGCACAAGTGCTGAGGATTTTGTGAAGACTCGGTCACACACCTCACACTTGAATGGCTTCTGTTCCATGAGGCAGCTCTTCCATTAAAGTTGATAATGATAAAAATGCACATTGGGAGAACTTATAATCCTGTGGAGTGCTCCTTACAAATCTCACATTCAAACAGTCTCTCACACATAGGGATATGTCAGTGGTTCATGAGGCTTGATGAATGATTGAAGCTCTCATCACACTTGGAGCCACTCACACTTCTTCCCAGCCTCACTCTGACCGATCACCCACAGCCGAACCTTCAGAAAGGTTGGTTCTGATGGAAGGCTTCACACCACTGACCAGTTTCAGATCTGATGATATGTCAAAGCTCCCCTGACTCGACTGAGTTCCAGCTGATGATTTCACTGACCAACCTTCTCTGTGCTCAACAATGCTGTGAAGGGACTGGATGTTTTCCCACTGTTGTGCAGTTGTTTGTTGAGAGATGGTCAGTATTGATCTGCAGTGTCTATCCTCTCTGTATTCTCTGGTGTAGTACGGTGCAATCCTTCTGTAAAACAGGAAAAGGAAACATGATTTCCTCCAACTGCCTCTCCTCCTTTGCTGAAGGGGCTAACTCCTCAGTTAGAGACTGTTCCACAGTGAGTGCCAGTCTGCTATTCCCCTGGTTGTGGGAATCAGACTTGACTGTCACAAACCCTCTGTTTGTGCACTGATACTAGATAGTGACCAGGAGCAGACAATGTGGCTACTTTCTTTCTTTAGCACAGCACCCCCATCTTCCAGGTGCTTTGAGGGCAACAGAAAAGACAGTCGGGAAGAGTGTAAAACAGGCTGTCTAACACTATGAACTCTAGCTGTGTTAACGAAGACCAGTTTTACCCTTAGAGAATGTGTTTAATTTTGGAAATTTTGAACTATCTCCCCTTCGTTTCTGAAATTGTTTGAAGAAAGTGCACTGGGCAGGAAATGCTAGAAGCTGAGGAACATACTGTTTTTGTGTAGCTGTTTGAAGGGTTCAGGTTTATTCTGGTAAATTAGATACATTGTTCTTACTCAGATTGCACATCCTAAATTCAGCTCTCAGCCACAGCTTTGGGCAAAAACTATCGAATCCAAGCCGAGGCTTTAGGTAATGGCTGTGGCAGTAAGCATTCTAAGAATTTCAATAAATGTGCCCTTCTTCCAAAAATGAGAATTGATTCTGGATCAATTAATAATATAAAATCTGAGATTGCCATGCTTTTGTTCACTGAAGGTTTGAAGGAAAAAGGACAGGAGAATGGAGTTCAATTACAGATACACCCTGATCTCAATGAATGATGGGACATACTCAAGATACTAAATGATCGACTCCTATTTCTATGTAAAATCTCCCAGGGAGGCAATATCCCCTCAACACTGCTGCGCAACAAGACCACATTCTCTCAGAGAAACAGTGTAAATTACAGTCCACTGGATAATAACTAACACACAGACCTCAACAACAGGAAATCAGTAAGAATCTTCAGACACTCTGCACCTCCCAGATAATTACACCTCACTTTCTCATATTCAAAACACAGCCTGGAAATCAGAAGGGAAATGCTTCCAATAAACACACTCAATATCCAACACACAGCTCCAGTCAAACAGTTCAGCACAAAGCACTGAGTAAACAGCTCTCTCAGCTGGATCTTCTCACACAGCATAAGAGACATTCCACCCCTGACTGCCCACAGGATAGTCAGACTGCCTGTAGATTGGTGTGGATATTATGGGATACAATTTGTATAAAAGCTGCTCCTTCACTCACCATCTCCTCACTTGGTTTTCAGTCCCTATAGGAAGTGAACCAGCTCTGGAAGAGGAAGAGGAGAGAATGGGCAGAGTGGGTGGGCTCTCTGATTGACGTCTCTCACAGTCAATCCAAATATTTCTGAAGCAACATGAGTTTCCCGAAGCTTGGGAAACTGACCGGTGAAATGGGGATGACTTAGAGCAGCAAATCAGGTGGAGATTTAAATTTGTCCCATCTGAATAAAACCTCACTTATTGCAGCTGCTGTCTCAGTTCCCCTGGTAAATGCTTGACAGAGATTTCTAGTGCGGGAATAGCATTCTTCATCTACCGTCATGCACTTTTCGGTTTTTCATACTGCTCCCTTGAGACAGATGAAACTTTTTATCTGGTGCTCATAAGGACAATTCAGATGAATATAACTTCAAGTGGAGAACAATATTTACACTGCATCAGAGGAGTGTGCTGATTGGTAGCAGTATTGCCATCAAGTGTACTCTGATCAATGATTAGTGACAGTTAACTTCCAGGCTTTGATAAGATCTTACACCAGACAAGTTGAACCTGATAGGTCATGGCATTTTCCGACAAATTAAACCAATGAATAGCTGTCACCTATTTTGTTGCATTGAAATGAGAACGGTGCGTGTTCATGTTCTTTCAGTATGGAAAGAACAGGACCCTGTGTACAAACATATGTAGCCTTCCGTTCGTATATGCGTTCTATGCTACGCGCCTGACTGACAGTCTAAATTTCTCACACATTTCTATCCTTTTTTGCTATGCTAGTCCACATAAAATATACCAGAGAGAGACAGGCTCTTGTTAAGACAGATGTTTTGAAATTCATCAACAATATTAAGTAGTTACCGAGCTACAATATCACAGATGTACACACACATTCTGGGTTCTGTGCTTACAAACGGTACTGTACATCACACTTGTGTGACTACACCTCCTCCACTGCACAGTTAGAGAGACAGAGTGACAGAAGGTGTAGCAGTATGAAATAACTCCACAGAGGCCAGGGGCCAGTAACCCATCACCAAGTCACCTTTTATTTACAAATAAACATTTCTTGACTCAGTATCTGACACTCATCCTTTTTATATGTCAGCCAGGGTTCCCTGATTGGGGCTGTTAATCAGCTCCAATCAGGGAACTTATATTCAATGAGATCCAGCTGGCTGACCTTGTTACAATCATATCAGCAGGTACCTTTATACCAGAACGTTACATGTTGTGATGTCATGTGACTGCCTGAAGATTACAGTGCGTGTGTGATATGGAATCTCTGCCAGAATAGAATACTCCTTTTCCTTTTAAAGAATGGGGTCTCTTTTCCAAATAACACATATAAGAATGCCTGTAGATATGTAACATGATCAGGTCTGCTCCTTGTGCAGTTGCAATAACTTGGTAATATAGCTTTTGTCTGTGGTGTGTCATATGCCATCGCAGATACGTGGTTGATGTGTGGCATGATATGTTCAGTATCCAAGTTGTCATTCTGTATGATGTGTGGAGACCATAAGACATGAGATGATATACAGTTTGGATATGTTACATTTTTCTTCGCTAGGCTAGGCAATTGCTTATTGTAACATGATATGACTAAGCTGGACACAATAAGCAAGTGTTATTCCATGCGTTTATATGGAAATCCTGGCTTGTACGCTCTGTCCTGGTTTATGTTGGGATAACTGAACATGCTTGTTGTTAATGGTCTTGTACCACTTCTCTCTTTTTTTAATGCACATTATGCCATTTGGTTGGGTGGTGAAACTGTGAGAGATAAGAACTATGTCTCTCCTAAACATGAGAGCTGCCAGCGAAAGTAAACCTTTACCTAAAAGAGAAGCAGGTAGACATAATATTGCTATCTGAACATCTGAACAAGTCACTTTACATTTCATGATTATTGATTTTACAGCACAAACAGAGCATTCAGTCAGACTTTTTGATTGTAGGTGGAGAGGCAATTATACCCCATTTCCTGCATATTTTGAAAGATGCAGATCATTGTCAGACACAATTCTTTAATTTGTCATACAAAAGGGAATTTGGTGAAATGGCAGTCACCAGAATGTAATCATGTTCTTGAACAAGGAAAGAATCAATCACCTTATTGCACCAAGTCTCAAAAGGAATGTCATATGAAAGGAGAGGTTCTCTCAATTATTGAGGTTGATGGAGTTTACATGTTTCGCAGAAATTGACTCATTGACTAATGTCTTTATGAATGCCAGAACAATATGTGGCTATTCACATGCTAATCTCAGTTTTTGCTCCATCCAAATGGCTTATTTGTATATGGTCTCGCAAATCTTTTTTTTTGTTCATAGGATGAGTGTTTCTGGCTTGGCCAGCATTTATCCCCATCCGTAGTTGCTCTGGAGATGCTTTCTTGAACTTTTGAGGTCCTTGAGATGTAGGGACATCCTCAATGCTATTAAGGAGGGACCTGGTGACACTGAAGGAATGGTGATACATTTCCAAGTCAGGATTGTGAATGGCTCAGAGGGGAACTTTCATGTGGTGATTTTTCCATGTATCTGCTGCCTTTGTCTCTCTAGGTGGTGGAGGTCATGGGTTAGGAAGGTGCTGTCCAAGGAGCCTTGGTGAGTTACTGCTGTGCACCTTGCAGATAGAACACACGGCTGCCATGATGCATTTTTTGCAGATGAGAATGAATGTTCAAGGTGGTGAATGTAGTGCCAATCAAGCAGTATTTGTTCTGGATGGTGTTCCATGGAGCTCCTTGTGTGTTATTAGAGCTGCATCCATCGAGGGAAATGAAGGGTATTCCATCACACTCCTGACTTGTGTACTGTAGATGATGGACAGGTATTGGGGAGACAGGAGATGAGTTACTTGCTACAAAATTCCTATCCTCTGACCTGCTGTTAAAACTACCGTCTTAATATGGAGAATCCAGTTCAGTTTTTGGTCAATAGTAAGTGCCAGAATAGTGATGGTAGCGATGATCATGCCATCGAAGGTCAAGGCTTTGATTCTCTTTTATTGAAGATGGTCATTACATGGCACTAATGTGCCACAAAAGTCACATGCACAAGCTTGGATGTTGTCCATGGACACAGATTGCTTCAATGTCTGAGGAATCATGAAAATTGCTGACAACCTGCTTGAGGAATTATAAATTGTTTGCCTTTGAAGATGACATTCCATGAGAGTGCTTGTTTGTCTCTGAATGACCAGAGGAGATCTGTTAGATTGTGTTTAGGCCACCTGCTGATGATTATCATCTTGGGCCGTTACAGTCGGTCATTATCTGATGTAACTTGCTGAATCAGCTCTGCTTGGCTGTTTCCAAAATGTATGAGATCAATGTTGTGGTCTGGAATCTTTGGTGTTACAGCTGATGGCTTGGTTACCTTGTGGCTGTGATCATATGTAAATCTGTGCATAGTGGCAGACCAATGATAGGTAGTCCATTTTGTTTCAACACATGAAAATGTTTCAGGTGCATTCTGAGGAGCTGTACTGAAATTTAAGATGGATAATGCCAATGCATAGAATGTGAGGATGGTTGTAAGCAGTTAGATTGTGTAGACTACACCATGTTTTGCCAATTTCATGATACATCACATGTAAGATATGTAAAGAGATAATATTTAATATGGTGCCAATGTCAATCTTGGCATATAGTTTATGTTGTCCATTCCTGTTTTGGTAGATCACTTGGATGGAGAGAATGGCTTACATTTTCTGATGACAGCCATGTCATGTGTTGAATTTACCACAAACAATCTGACTGGGGTCTGTAAGCTGTAACATTGTGAATAGCTCTTGGACTTCAATGGATGCTTGCCTGCCAAACTGTGGAAGCCTCTTTTGCATCAGTTCTTGGTTGACTCTTTTGCATATGCTGCTGATAGATGAAAGTTTGCAGAAAGCATGAGATGTTGGACACTGTCTTGTTTAAGGCACATCTAACAACATGCTTGGATGTTCTACCATTCCTGTTGACAGCAACAATAGTTGTTCCAGAGTCAAGTACTTGCAGATGCTCCTGGCCTGGCCCCAATTGGTTTGAGTTTGTAGACTTCTTCTGGCACAGCATCAATAATACATTCTGTGGATTTGTCCAGAAGTGCTTTTCTGAAGGATTTGATGGGTGTTGCGGTCATGACCAGTCCGTAAATCTTTCAGCTAAGTTAGCTTCAGTGAAATCACTTTCCATACCATTGTGACAACACCTGTCTATGAATTAAGTGATCGTTTTACCTGGCTGTGAGCAGTGCAACACAAACACAGGCTATTGTTTAATCTCTCAGGCTTTCTCTTCCCACCACATGTCCTTTATCTTTTGAATTGGTGTTTGGGGATTAGCTTTGAGCTCTTGACATGCTGCGTCCTTGAGTTGTGACCTTGTGGGTTGTTCTGCCCGGCAATGAGCACTGATTGTTTTGTTCCAGGAGGTCACATATTTGAGTGTTATGTTCACTGAGCATTCTGGGCGATAGCGATGTGTGAATCCAATTATCTGGATACAGTTCAGTACAGCTGACTTTATACAATTTTACAGACTTTATACAGATCCCACAATTTGGGAATTAAGTTGGAAGTGTGAAGATTTCACAGATTGGTTTTGAGCAGCTCCTGGAATTACTGTCCTCAGTCTCGCTGTTTTTGGGCTGAGACATTGACCACCTTCCTCTCAGATGTTGGACTTTCTGACATTTTGGTGCACAGGATCCTGCAGTAACAGTTGTGTACACAGTCTGTTGGTCAGTGTCACTGTGGGCTCGGATACTCTCTCAGTCACTGACTTTATAATTCCCTTTTCACATGAAGTGTAGTGTTTCCTTCCGAAAGCAGGACTTGCATTTATGTGTCAACTTGAGCAAATTCTAGGTGTCACAGTACATTTTGCAGCCAATGATGTACTTTTTGAAGTATAGTCACTGTTAAAATTAGGAAATATGGCAGCCAATTGATACATAATACTTTCCCACAAACAGCTCCATGGTAATGACCAGATAATCTGTACATGCAACATTGCTTGTTGGAATGATGTTGGCCACGACATCAG